TCCATGTCTGGATAACTTGTATTGATCGATAAAATATCATTGACCTGGCAGACGTGGGCGACAGCTGTGGTATTTTGACACGCTGCCAACTACCCTGTTACATTATTACGTCACATCGAAACCTATTGTTAACGCTAAGACTTATGGGTCAATAAAGTGAGAATATCAAGAAAATACGACATAACGACTTTTAGTGAATTGTGAGAGAAGAACAGCGACAAAACCAATAAAAAGAGCCATATTATCAATTCAMAACATTTAGGAAATCCATGCAATTTTAAGTTCGAGTCTTCAAAGAAAAATTAGAGAAAATATTCTAATTTCAAGTGCCTATGACGCCTGACACAATAATTGCTGCTTCAATAAAGCCAAAAATTCAGTTGTTCGCTGATGTTCCAAAAAGTCTTAAGGCTGATTTACACGGTACGATTTGTCGCGCGCGACTTGTAGTATACGATTTTCCTACTACAAGTCGTAGGATTTTAAGCAGTGGTTCAAAACCCTACTACAAGTCGTAAAGTCGTAGGTTGTGTACGACTGTTGTAGACAAGTCGTAGGGGCATTTTACACTGCGCGATTCAAGTCGTATACTACAAATCGCACGAGACAATCGTGCCGTGTAAATCAGCCTTTAGATTTAAGTGCCAATGACGCCTGACATAATAATTGTTGATTCTCTGTGAACTGATTCCTTATAAAGAAAATAATTGAAAGGTGAAATATTCTTGCGTGTTATTGAAGGTTTACAATATGCTAATAATAATGACGTCAAGGGAGGCTTCRTTAGATATATACAAACTTTGAAACAGTGGTTCAAAACTGTTTTCATGAACGCCATCTGGAAATATGGCTATTCCCTWMATTGCCTACGATAARTMWAATGYCATRAAACCATTTTTAAGCGACTCCTTYAAAGTYCGTATATCTAATRAAGYCTTCTTTGATGTCACTTCATTAGCATTTTCAATTTTCAAATGCCTTTAACTCAGAAAATATAATTCAACAACTTTTYTCTTCTTCAAAACAATGATTAGAATCATATTTGCCTTATGTTAAAAATAATTTTCTAAAAGCGTTCAGTGCACTTTAACAACCTACTGGGCTTGACGTAAGCTTACATATTTTCGCTGTAACGATAAGCGTTTGTCCAGTGTCCAACTTAGTGCCGTGTGTACAAAGTATCTCTGTACATTTGAAKCGCAGAGTACTTGCGGGGGGCTCGCGGGCATGCCAAAATTCTAGATCATGAATTGTGTTGAGATATGATAAGGTACATTAGGACATATGGTACCGATCATAATACGGTCTGGTCATGTTGAAACACCATATGGTTTTTGTTCGTTTGATCACTCTTGGTTAATAATAGTTATTAAATTTTGTTATTGAGTTATTGAGGCTTTTTTTAATTTGCGTGTCACCCTAAGCGTTTAGCCCTTTTGTCTTCAAATAAATCTAGATTGCTCCCCTACCACGAATACTGTACCTCCCTCAAGGAATCTGGGTTAACGCAATTATGGTAACTAATGATAATTCATATGCTATTTCAATTGATTGTTTTTTCCATTCATTTATTTATTTAGGAAACTCTAACTATAGTTATTTTCCATTAGGAACTAATTTATGAGCTTGATAAAACCAATTGCTAGCTGAATAATGATATTTTATTTTCAATTTCAATTGATTATTTCTCATCATTCATTCATTCATTCATTCATTCATTTATTCATTTGGAAAACCTCAATGAGTTGCTGTTGCTGTTGTTGTGGTTGCTTTCGTTGTTGTTGCTGTTAATGTTATTGTTGTTGCTAATGTTGTTGTTGTTGTTGTTGCTGATGTTGTTGTTGTTGCTGCTACTATTGTTGTTGCTGATGTTGCTGTTTTTATCAGGATCTAAATAATGGCTAAATATCTTATTCGTAAAAACGCTAATAAATACAATCAAATGATAAAATACCCCGCCAGTATATCCGTCGACAATCACTTCACTCAACCTTTGCCATAATGGGTGCGGCTATCTACCCCACTACCCAGGCACCAACCGCTAATCCTCGTCGATTGAAAGGCCTTTATTAGAGGACAATTATGATAATGTGAGCTCCTATGGTACAGTTATAGAGTTCAAGATCTAAAYACTTAAATAAAGCAATTGGGGTATCATTAAAGAATTGAAATAATAGACACTGACTAGCGAAAATTTGAGAAAAATCGGTGAAAACATTAGGCCTTCATTTAGGTCTCTCTTGCGCCTTACCGCGTGTACCAAACTCTTCTTTCGTCTCTTTATCAGTGAATTCGTCACATGAGAGTTTCGACGTTTGTTTATACAATAWTTGTACTTTGGATTAAATTAAAACAGGTTTATTTGTATTGTCCGGCGGTGTCTGAGTATTTTTTTCATGATAWTTTCTTTGACTGTCCAACATTGAAAGGTCGAGCCGTTGAAGCTCCAGTGGTGGTCTTTATACCGAGTAAAACACAATTGCATCCAGTCTATAAGAAAACATACCGTATTGACTCAAAAAACTAACGTAAGGGTACGTAAACAGTAGAAAAGATTTCKAATACTATTAGTTCTCTTGCGTATTGTGCAAGGACCTTTTGCGGTTTTCCAGCAGCTTCCGTTACCACCTTAAGAAAACTTTGTTTGTCGACTGTTGTTGAAACGTTGTCTGTCGTAAAGAGCCTATGATTGTTTTTTTCTTTTTCTATTTCTTTTTCTTCCCGAAAAAGCTTTCTTACTRTTGTTAGTGAAACGTTTGGAGTAAAACATTACAAGTAGCTGCTCCAACGTTTAGAATTATCTAGTCGATGCGCACGCAYTTTAGTTAACGTCTCAGTTGTTTACGTAAACGTATTAAAACAAGTGAAGTGAAATTACATTTKTTCAGTTAGCAATCCGTAAGGCGATGGCGTACCCCTTCTACTGAACGTATCTCTTGTTCGCGTAAACGCGAGCAAGACACTGAGTAATAGCTTGAACTATAACGATAACCGTCCGTAGGAATGGGTTTACCAAATGCACAATCGAATAATAGCCAGTTAGAGAAAAAAACAGTTAATTAACAAGCAATATTTGTTTGGCTTTGCTTTTATGATTTACAACAGTTCTAACTGAAGTTGAACGCAGACTACTAGACAACTGCACAATGTTACCTCCTGCGGAATGCATCACTAAAAAAGATCGATGCAACGTGGAATAGAAACAAACAAGTATTAAAAAGAGGTGAAGCAAGCAATAATTAAGAATGAGCAAAACAAGCCGTATAAGGGAAAGAAATAGGTCAAAAAATGTAGTGGTAAAAGAAATCGAAAAAAACTGATTGAAGGAGAAACGTTTTTGTGAGTGTCACTGACGGTAGAGGGTCTAGAGGACGTCGTTTCTGATTGAAATTGGCTCAATTATCAAAAAACATGTGCTCTTCAATATCTTTTCTTRTATCAAAGATATAAGAATTAAAAGAAGTGTTCAGATTGATTGAAAACTAGATTAGTTGCTGGATTTGTTTGACATAATTGAAATGGGAAAATTCCCTTTTCCCTCTTCTTTTCTTCTTCGCATACTTTGACTGGAATGAGAAGCCGTGCTCTTGAAACCATCTTTCATTGGAATTTTGTCCGCAATGATATATTGCGCACGAACATCAACGGTCCTAGAAGTCTGATTATTAAATAAGCGCAAAAAGTGTTGATAGATGTTCTAGATAAACCCTGATGAAGTTTAGCCGAGCATGCTTGAAATGTTTGAAGAGGCTGACAGGGCAAAACTCGCCAATATATAACAGACTGGCCTCCCATCAGTGTCACCCCCCAGGCTAGCATTTTTCATTCGTCCACAAGTTGAGGATAGTCAGACTACAGCGCTATACATAACCAAGACATCCAAATCAAACAGATCGCTTGTAAAATCGCTGCAATTCTTGTGGCGTTTCAACAGGGTAGATACGCTTTCATTGAAAACATAGCTCGCATAGCGAATAATTCACTAATTTGTCCGCCTCATGATATGAATCACATGCTAACTCAATATCTTCTCGACAGAAAGCTGCCAGGGTCAACAACTAGAAGACCAGCCTCGGAAATCCCTCGTCCAAGTAGACATTAACCACCTACGAATCGTGCAGCAAGAACACGTGTGAGAAACAGAAGTTCAAACGCAAGCGTAACAAAAGGTATGGACGGTGTTTAGATATCACGCTGGCTCAGAATGCATGATGCGGGGCCCCTCGCTTCGTCCTATTGCGAGACACAGGTAGATTTAGCATAGATTGTAACACAAATAAACATACCCTGAGGTTGCTATACGTCCGATAAACACAWAAAGTTGATCTCATTACATCGAATAATCCGGGGCCGTGAATTGACTTCGAGTTACTGACGTTTCTGAAGTGYGGAGTCCTTGAAGGGCTCAACGTTAAGCGCCAAAATTTCAAGTACACAACAATCTGAGAGATAATCAAGCCYCGGATTTGACACAAGACATGTCTTCAGAAAGTTGACTGGTAATTTTGCGATTAAGCTAATATCATTTGCCTCATTCGCCCCGTTAGCCACAAACAGTGAAGACGCTGCCTTCGCGAACAAAGCTTCGTGTTTATTTGTTCATAGAAAATTCATACATATTTGTTAAATGTTGGCCCTCTCTCACTATTAGCGATGGGACGAGTCTCTWAGTACAATAGCTAATTGAGTAACAGGACGCCCCTAAATTCTTCTAAACAATAGACTTAGGTTAGACAAGGTTATTTGCACTAGTCATTTTCAGCGGATCAAAAAGTCCAAGTACGCACTCCATTCAGTGTCTACTTGAATATAAGACTTTTAGGAAGGCTTCAAGTTCGTTGAAGAAGTTTTTTCGTCATCGGAGTGTAAATTATTACATCATCGTGTGCCGGAAGTACATATGCACTGCAGAATTCTTTTGTTGTTCAATATGATTGACAGAGGCGGAGTAAATTGTCACTTGAGGCTATTGAACTCCACTCATTCTTTTATTTCAAAGGCAACACACCATAACGCCACTACGCCAATCAAATTCAAGCGCAATCGCGCTATGACTCGTGAATTTTGTTAGTTCAAAGCAAGTTAACTTTTGGTCCACTCAAGTGACTTATAAGCCGATCGTATYCGTTTACAAACAGTCTTCAAGGGTACAAGTTTTAGGGACCTAACGTGGTTAATATTTGATGTAACGAGATCAAAGCATGGAAAAGCATCGGAATTGCGTTTGATCGTCTCCATGGATAGTATGGTTTAGTTTGCACGCTGGTAACATCGTGAACAGCTCGCCAAGAAAACACTTTGTTGACAACTTATTGTGCCTTCRTTCTAGAGGACTGGTTGTGTGTATAATGCAGATATGAATACAGAATCTGGGAGATAGTTCTTGCTTATTACGGACATGCAAGGGTGCTTACATCTGTGGATATTGCTGATATATGGTATTATTATACCACCTGCATATCCAGGTAAGACTTTTTACTTGTACTTATTAAGGTRCTTAGGTTTAAGTTCAGCGATAAGCGATATTCAGTTAGCTAGATCCAGCGAGGTGCATTGGACAATACATCAAGGGCATAGGATTACAMGTAGATCCATCTTGCCCTTGTGTTRTGTTGTCACGCTTGATCGCTAGAAAACCTTATGTTAGCAMAAACATCATCGCATAATAGGCCTGTTTRGCTGGTTTAAAGTCTTAYGAAACCACAAAGTATTATTCTAYAGRGGAAACGATAATTCCATTAAGTTCAGCTGTATTTACACAGCTCTTAGGTATATTCTATGATGGGATGTTGTTCTCAATCCCTGTTTATCGACTGTGTTTACTTAGAAAAACAATTAAGTCTTTGCATGCTGTCATACATGCATTGTATTTCGCTCGCTAATCGAATTCAGGTCTCAAAGATAATGCCTAATCACTTACGATAAACGATTTTCAGTTTGCTCAAGTCTTATAATGTGTATTTCTTCATTATGAATTACCCTAATGCCCAGTTTTTAGATATTGAGAAAAACGCTCGGAGTTTGAGYGAGTCCAACTTTATAAACGTAACAAAAGTTCAATAAGTTAGACTTCATAAACGTATAAACTTTAGTAGTCCAACTTGTTAAATTTCGAATTCAACTTTGTAAATACTGTTGCTTGTGTGATGGAGTTTGTCTGACAAGGAGCTTTTTTCATAACCGGAATTTGAAGAGCGAAATCCGGATAAACGAAATTTACATGCAAGTTTCTTTGCCCTTTGCGACCGTGCAGGAATCYACAGAATCAAATTTGACAGACTACAATACCAGAACCCAACCTGGGGCCATGAAATGTGTTTGACAGTGATAAAAGATGGCTACAATTCTTGTCTAAACACAGTTGAATTTCACGGTCTACYGTTYTAGCCTACAAGGAACCGGTTTCTTGTCTTAATCGACCTCTTTTAAAKCCGARGAGCSCAGTTGTCTTCTAAACCACTCCACTTCGTTGTAAAAATCTCCTAAAATGATCTAAATACAAGCCAAATAACTATGGTATGATGTCAACAATGGCATGTGTCACTCTGCACTTTCGTAAAAGAACTCGCATACGCTATTGTTCACGGTGTTTGGAGATGTTGATGTCTCTACACCAAGGTTAAGAAATGTCTAGATTGCTAAGAAAAATTACAAAAACGTATGTACTATCAAAATACAACTTTTAAAAACAAAGCTCCGGTATTGRCTCTCTTCGTTACGTGCGAAAGAAAATGTCATTGTGTTTTGATATTTTAGACCTCGAATTCAGAGCTTTTGATTTAGCATGTAAGATTTTGTGTAAATACGAAAGCTTGGAAAAAAAATTATTAAAACAATTTTTGTGTGCTGATGGAGCTAGACTGTGTGAATATATAGAACATACGACTTGGACAATTTTTGGAACTGAGTCACGTAGCAATGTGCTATAGGGCAGAAAGGCTATAAGTCAAAAACTGCTCGATAGCTCGTTAAAMTATTCATRACAATAAAGAATAGAGAAAAGGTGACTTTTGACCATTTKCTCAAGTTTGTTTGACATTTCGAGACGTTTACTTTCGAATATGATCTCTAAACATTCATTCTTAGACATATACTGGTTATGCAGTAAAAACAGCGTGAAATAACGTAATATACAAGATTGTTTTTAATGTTTTAACTTGTTTTGACCGATGCCTAGAACTGTTTTTCATGAAAATGTATTTGATATCTATTTGGTAGGTAATGAAAATTTCCAAGGTAAATGTTTGTATAAAGATGATCATGATAAAACGAAAAGCAACAAGAAACAATTCTCGTGAATCATCAAGGTCAAAATGCTTGCTATTGAAGATTGCTATCAGTAAAAATTGATGCTATCTTGAGAGGAATCTTTGGGGTCTCAACATATTTGAAATTCTAAGTAGTTTCGTAAACTTTCGGAAACTAACAACAATCTCAAAAAAATAGCACTTTAAGTTAAAAAGGTTGCCATAAAGATTTTATAATCAAAAATTCAATAAACATTAATGTTATCATGGGGCAAATCTTTGGGCAACAACTTCTAAATCAAGAATACTTTCGGTAACTTCTATAAACTTGAACAAAACTACCAATATCAAGGCTTTGCACGAGTGATATTCAAATTTTAGGAGAGTGATATRCGTCTTTTCGCTGACTATAAACTTAACCGCTTGATTCTATGATTTTTCAACTTGCACGTACTAGCTTCCTTTTTTATAAAGAACCATTGGTAAAAATGCTTAAAACCATATGGTATACCACATAATTATCGCTTCTTTGTGTTTATGCAGTGTATTGTTCTAGGATTAGGAAAGACTCATTACCAGGTCCCATGGGACGCGTTCACTTGTTGACTTGACTTACTTGAAATGTTTACTTGACTTTTATTCAACAAGACATTATGGCTCTAAAGCATTCAAATCAAACATTGAAACTATCAAAAATTATTTTCAATTACGCTTTTTTTCAATTGGATGACTTTTGGTAGGAATCAACCTTGGTGTKTTGCTGACCTTCCGCAAAGAATGCATATTTTTTAAGTACTTCATTGAAAAACAGTTCAACCGTTAAGTTATAATCGTCATATGACGTTAGTTGTTCTAAGTTTTTCTATTTATGCTAAATTT